TAATCACAATATGGACTTGATTAGACAAGACGTACTTCATAGGCATAATAAACGTAACAAAGGCAATTTTAGATTACCGCGTGTCAAAAGAAATTGGGGGAAGCAAAGATCACAATATCATGCCGTTTCCGATTTTAACTCCCTCAGTCAGACTATCAAAGACTCAAAGAATGTCAATAGTTTTAGACGTAATGTTTTTAAGTTTTTAATATAGCTACTTACGTTTAATTTTTATTTATACTTATTTTAATATATTTTTGATTTTTAATTTTTTATGCATTTTTTGTATCCTTTTAATCTCTTTGCAATTTTATTGCTTTCTTGTTTCTACTATACATATCTAGTTTCGAGGTCCTTTTTGAAAAGCATATCTGTTATGAAAAAGTTTCCTCAATAAAGATGATTACCAATGAGAGCCCAAAAGAATTCCAAAATAACCAAACTGAATCAACTCCATTCAAGATCAAGATTTTTAGGCCCAAGCTAGGAAGATTTTCACCAGTCTGTTTTATAATCTAACCACAACTTACCTCTTCAGTGATTATAAGATCGATATCAACATTTGCATGAATGAAATCTCCATCAGTACTTCTCCGCACAGTTCCTTTAATTCCCATAAGGCAGTGTTCTTTAGTATGTTGAAATATGGCATCTGGTTCAAGGTATTTTGTGTTTCCAGGATTAGTTTTATTTGTTTTAATCCAACAAATGTCCTCACAACGACGAAAGCCCCATTTCTTTAGGCACTGTTGACAAAAGACAAGTTAGGGGTGGTTGGAAGAGATTTAAAGGAAACCTGCGATGGACGAACAACAAAAATGTCTTGGATTTTTAAGATTGATTTCTGGGTGATAAAGTTCATTTTGTGGGCTGTACCCACATCAAATGTCATGTGACAAAAGTGATTAATATGTAACTTCTCCCTATATACATTATCTAGCAATCAGGTAATCTGAGCACTCAATTTTATCCAGTAGAAGTCGCTATCTTGATCTAGCAGTTTGAGGTGAGAATCAACAACTGGATCTTGGAAATTAAAGGGTATATCTCACCATTAATTAGCAGGTCTGTGAACGTACCAAAAAAGCTACAAGTATTTGTCAAGACTTTGGGTGTATGACAGCCTTTCAGTAAAAAACATTGGAGATTTTATCAAGGAAATCATGTTTTTTTTCATTTCACAGTTCCATGTAAGCACTTTGAATTGATAACAATTGTAGCACAACTACTGTGCCATTGATTGTCTGTGGTCTGTGGTCTGTGAACAAGCCAGAAAGCTACAAGTGTTGATCAAGACTTTATGTGTATGAGAGCCTTTCAGTGAAAAAAATATCGACATTTTATCACCATGGCATTAATTGTTTTTCATTCACAGTTCCATGTAAGCATTTTCACATTAATTGTAGCACAGTTACATTGTTTGCCTGTTACTATAAAACAAGACCTTAAATAACTTACAGGAAATTTAAAGCAAAAAATATTTATCGATCATTTTCCACATATTTGAGTTCTTTACCTTTCTCCCTTCATTGAGTCCTTCATGTGAGCCACACCAAAGAAACAGGAATGAGCGTTGAGCAGCAACTTTTTCTATTTCTAGCTTAAGAATCTGCAACAGTGCAACCAAAAAATGTGAACTGAAGTAACCATATTACAACTACTTCACAAGTGAAACAAGAACCTACTAATTTCCCTTAAACAGCTGGTGTGCAGCTAATGATCTGTACACCAAATCAAGATGTCTACGCCCAACCCAGCACAGCAATAATTATGCTGTGTTCTTGCACACAACACTTTTCCCAGACATTGCCCCCTCTCCACACAATAGTGCAAAAGTGTGTGGATGAACTGTCAGGGAACCTGACATAATTCTAGGATTAGGGGGTTAGTTCCTAAAGAAACTCTGGTGCTACATTGGAGGGAGGTATTACAAGATAGTCTGGTTTCATCCACTGATAAAATAAAAAAATTGGCCCTTGTAAAGAGTTCCAAAAGCTGACATTTACAGCCCATGCCCTTTGTCCGAGCAAATGGCTAAATAACTT